TTTGATGAAAGCAATGTTAATGTCACATTCAATTTGATGAGTGGATGAATCCTTTCTCTCGCAGCGATACTTGTATAAACATTTAATCTGAAGCGGCCGCTGGTAAGGAAGCCTGTGTTGACTTACTGCGAGCAGAAGAAATTGGAAAGAGTGGTTTGAAATCTTTTGCTGAGATGTGACTTCTTAGAGGCACCCATTCATTTTACGAGACCCTCAAGAAGAACAAATTTTCTACTTTTGATGAAATGATCATCAAAGAGAAGTTGAGAACAAATGAAGGTTCGATTGCATTGAGAGAAGATCGGAATACCATTGAACGATTGCGTGTTATACAAATAAACAGAAGCATTGATCTTGAAGAGATGTTGACGTTCAAGCTTTCATCATATCCTCTGTCACTGTACCATCCTGAAGGTACCATGACAAAAACTGTGAAGTCAAAGCTGTTTGCTTGTCTTGCAGAGAAAATACCTTAGCTGGCAAGTGTACAGCAAAACACTCCCAGAATTTTAGTGCTATTTCACAAGCTGCCAAAACAATTGTGACTTTTGGTGAAATCTCCAACTATGTAATTCAAAAGGTGCTTAGTGGAATTTGCAGGGTTGCCTTTATTCCAACTGATCATTAGCTCCCTGATTCCATCATGTCCCTGGAAAGGGGTTGCCAGTCAACATATGGATCTATCAGGGTGTCAGGTTTTGCCAATACAAATTTCTGCAGCATCCACAAAACAAATTAGATCTCATCAACTTCGTAATGGATGACTTGCAATCAACTGAGAAACGCATAAGAATGTTGAATGGTAAAGAGCTATACATAACGTTTAAGGCACTTTGTATCTCATCCAATGAAGAAAGGTCATCAATTTCACAAGTTCCTGACCTAATGTCAGCCCAAGAAGCTGACACAAAGATATTTTTGTGTGCAAAATATGCATCTTAATTTGGATGTGTTAGAATTGCTACAGTGGACTCTGGTGTTGGGGTTTCTATCATTGTACTACAAAGAATTGATCCAGACTAACCTGCTACTGGACTTTGGTTTAGGATCCAAAGAAATGATCTAAGATATTAATGGTGCTGACATATCAGCTGAATTAGCCAAAGCTCTACCAGCTTTTCATGCACTATCAGCTTGTGATTCTATGAGTAGCTTCAGTGGCAGAGGGAAGAAGAAATGCCTTCAAGTACTAAAGTCCAACCAATATGCTTTATTGAGGCAGTATGCTTACTTGGAGAGCACAGCCATCCCAAATGTTGTGCTAGAAGTCCTAGAGGAATATCGATGTCTTTTATATGGGATAACCAATGAGACTAGTATTGATGTCTCACATTACAAGCTCTTCACCAACAGACGGAAGGTTCCAAACAAAGGATGCCTTGTATCAACACATATAATGAGCAAATTGCCAAATGCTTGCATGGAAACGAGCAAATTGCCAAGTGCTCGTTTGGAAACAGGCTCCGGTTACTTCATACATGTGGACTGATCCAAATGGCAATGGAAGGAGAGTATCTGGCAACAAAAAAACCCAGAGATTGAATGGGGATTGAAGAAGGCAGCACCAAACTAGAGTTTGTATATTTTCTTCAGTAAAAATACAGCCTAACAAGTGGCTGTTACAGGTATATATACATCGTTGATTTTTTTAAGCTTTGTAATGAAAGTCAAATTAGACACATTGTGACAAAAAAAAAATAAAAAAAAAATAAATCATGAAATCAAATCAGTTATGTGCATAAAATCAAAGAGGACAGCAGAAATAACGACAATTTTGCTTAAATCTAGTCTATAAAATCCCCTCTAATATGCAAAAAAGTGTACATTCTATTTTTTCACTTTAATACCATGAACATTGCATTTTAACATGTATATATATATATATATATATATATGGACTGAAGATTTCGTTCAAGGATGAAACATACTGTTGCCATTCTGTGTTAACCTCAGTATCTATTTTTGCATTTATGTACACTCTATAACAAAGAAAGTAAGGTGTTTATATATATTTTTATCTATCCCACACAGGTAAAAATACAGGAAAAAGAAGTTGAAAATGCAACTGCAGCCTTTAAGAATATTTATTTAGAGTAACTTTATCGGTTTCACAGTTCTATGATTTTCAAAAGTTAAATTGATATGGAGAGACATGTGCCTATGCCAAGATCGGTTTCACATCTAACTGAAGTTGAACAAAAAAAAAAAAAAAAAAAATTGCCCAGATTGTTATCTGTTTAAAATGCAATCTGATTGGTTGATTACGATCATATGATCAGGCATAGTAATCTTTGTGCCAAAAATTGATGATCATAAAATTTTGTTGGCAAAATCATGAAATCATAGAACTGTGAAACTGGTAAAATTACTCTAAATATTGTTAAAGATTCCAGTTGATTTTCATTATATATATATATATATATATATATATATATATATATATATAGGCCAGTTAATAAAATTTGAGGAATAAAAAGCCAACAAAATGTTAACAATATTGACAATAAAGTTGATGATATTTATTATATACTAGCCTTTTAACTAAACTGAAACAAAGAGAAAGATTTTAATTCCACAATTTTTTTTGTGCTTCAATTTAGTCAAAATATGTAATAAATATCATCAATCTTTATTGTCAATATTGTTAACATTTTGTTGTCTTTTTATTCCTCAAATTTTATTATTAACTAAGCCTATAAGAAGCACATGTGGACTATCTTTCATATATATATATATATATATATATATATATATATATATATATATATATATATATATGTATGTTTCAGTTGAGCTCTTGGGGAGAAAAGTGAATTTGTAAAAGGTGACTATTACTGCTGCCGATACAAGTCTTTGTTAAAACGAATCAAGTTCTCCCAGTCACTGGCGTGTTTATCTAAAAATAAATGCATCTAAATTCACCTTCATCCTTGACGTGCACCAATGGCTTAAGGGTAGAGTCTCTGATTAATACCAAATCAGTCAGGTTTTGATCCTGGCTTGAGGCAATCGGATATCTAGTCACACTAATGAGCTGTGAAACAGCAAAACAGTCTGTGGATGACAATATATGATGATAAGGAGAAGTTTGTAATGGTTTATTTCTTTAAAAAAAAAAAAAAAAAAAAATTGCCTTCATGTCATTTAATACCATGTCCCTGAAGGACATAATCGATCATAGCACTCCATGACTTCCTTTCTTTTCATATATGTAATCTGTACATTGCTATGATTGTTCCTGGAAAAGACAATGCACCAGTTTCCTACAGTTTTGAATTCAGAATATTGTCTTTCTAGATTGATTGCTCTATCAAGGCTAAAGAGCAGAGTCTTCTGTTACAGAATGTAAATGTTGGGCCAGGATGGTCAGATATTTTGTGGTTGTGGTCTTCTGACATTGAGAGATTGTCTAAGTTCTGGATACAAGTTCAAAACAGGCCCATATGAATTTTGAAATGTCAATATGCTTTCCACACACAGGTTCAATAAACAGGTTAAAACTACACAATGGGAAGGATGCCAAGTCAACAAGCGGCATGCGTTCCTTTGAAGTTCATCTTTCCATTGCTCCCTAGAATCAATGCTGCTGCCACATCTGTGCCTCTCCTCTAATAAAATGAATAAGAAAAAGAAACAGTCTTTTTGTTGAGCACCATCTATGAAATGGCATTGGAGAATGAGAGGCTTAAGCCAGCGATGACATGGAGCGCAACACTTCCCAACTATTTCAGTCACACAGCCAGGAGAAGAAGAGATGAATGCCTGCCTTTCTCAAGGATATTAGTGCGATATGAACACAAAATCTTCAATTTCAAATTTATTCACAGATTCCATTTTCCATATAGATAACCATTATGCCAGCTCTTATAATAATAATAAGATTTTATTTTAAATCAATTCACCCCAAGCAAGGCAATAATGCAACTAAGATGCAATTGGCTACTGGGAGTGGAAGAGAATCAGAAGACTTTAAAAAGGAACTGGAAACCCAATCCTAAACATGAAACAAGAGATAAACTACTACTCCTGTTCAAAAGGAGCTGGAGGAGTAATAGCATTATCCTTAATAGTGTTTTTTGTTTTTTTTTCTTATATTCTCTCACCCCTCTCTAGAGGATTATAGATGAAGAGGTACAGCTTATGTGGATATGTGTGGAAGATAACAGTTAACCCTAGATTTGAACAGGTTATGATTGTAGTGAACGAGGAAGCAGTCTCTTAGGAGTCGGCTCCACTAGTTTGTGGGAAGAAGCTGCTGAGTGGAACTTATGTCTCCCCCCAGGGCAGATACAAAGGGAATGGGTTCACTACAATGTGTGTGGCATGGCAGATCTTAGCCATGAAGTTTAGGACTGATGGAACTTAGTGTAGTTCATCTGAACACACACACCCCTGAAATAGCCATAGAGCAACAAGACGCTTGTGACACATTTCATCTGTGAGGAAAGGAGTTGCAGAATGGAAAATAATTTGTCACCTACAAAGACACAAGAACGCTTTTGGATTATTGAGAATGAAATGTGAAGACTGGACAGCTCCCACCCATATATGGTAGCAGTACTCCATTTTTGGCTGGATCTGGCTCTTGTAGAGATAGAGGATAGCAGGAGTGAAATTCTTGGTGGAGTGGTAGAGGGAAATAACCATTTTCTCAGCATCTTTAGCAATGGATCACATGTACGGGTTCCCTTTGAGGTCTGGGTTGAGTAAGTCTCAGTAGGTGCTCAAGGCACAGGGCCTTCCTGAGGGAACGTCGGTTGATCACGATTGGTGAAAGTTCTGAGTTCGATCTGTGATGGTGGAAGGTCACTAGTTTGGTCTTTGAGGCATTGAATATGACCAGCCAGTTTTTCCCCACCACCGAGTTGATAGAGTTAGGCCAGAGGAGAGATCAGCTGCCAAACTCTGGTCATCGAGGGCTCTGGGGGTGATTGTATTTTAAAAAGAGAAGCTGTATTATCTGGGCTGGAACATTTGTAGAGAAGAATCAAAAAGACTGCTTAGAGACATGGCACTCGACATGGTTTCACGTGCTGATGTTTTAAGATGTGTGTGGTTAAACGACACCTAAATTTGAAATGTTTCCCACAGATGTTACAGGTATGATTCTTGGCTTTAAGTTCCGAACAAACATGGCGCTCTAGTTCCTCAAGAGACTTGAAGTTTCTCTCCCCGCAACGAGAACAGGCAACAATTATTTTCATTGATGAATTACAGTAAGGGAAAGGCCCAAAATTTTGTTTGGGTGGGTCCTCATGGGGTGAGACATTTGTTGAAGTCATCGTTGTGCTGTTGCTGCTGCCAGAAATTGAAGAACTACGGTGAGATTTTTGGTGGACCTTCAGGGATAGATTTCTGGCAAAGCTTTTCTTGCATATGTCGCACTGGAACAATGGTTGATTAGCTGATGCTGCTTCAACTTCTTTATCTGTTGCTGTATTTTTTGCACTTCTCTTTAGAACAATCTCTTTGACCCGAGAGACAACTTGCTGGTAAGTCATGCTCACCTTTTCACCCATTTTCCCTCGGGGTGGTTCCAGGCCAGGCATGCCCTCGGCACCCACCTCAACATAAATATTGTTATTTTTACCGGATGGAATGCAACGGTATATCCGGGGTGCACCTTGGGTGTCATCACTTGCACTCTTCCTGGATGTAGTAATAACCTTCAGAGGTGTCGCTTCTGAGCAGTAACTATCGTCAGAGATCTTAGACTTGTTCACATACAAAGGCACCAATTTGGGAAGACGGCAAGGGCTGTCGCCGATATCCATTTTGTCTTTTTTTTTCTTCCGCCTCCACTCTTTTGAAACATCAGTGAACACATGTAACCGAAGGTGGCTCGCTAATCGGGTCTTCAGGTAAAATGCTTTCGGACACAGGTAACAAGAGAAGGTCGGGCCCGCCATATGTCGCCTCCAATGGACAATGAGCGTTCTCCGAAGAAAAAACTCCTTGTCACAGAGTCCACATTTGAAAGGTCCATGTAGCATAGTTTTGTGCCTTTTCTTGTGTTGTCGTAACTGTGCTCTGAGCGTGAATTTCTGTCCACAGATGTTGCAGTTATGAGGGTAGACACAACGCAGTAGGAATTCATGTGTACGGAGTGCGGACACTTGTGAGAACACCAAGCCACACAGAAAGCATCGGGGAATTTCCCAACGGTTGTGAGCTTGCAAATGACGTGTAAGAGTCCGCCTTGTAGAGAAAGATGCAGTGCACAAGGTACAAGCAAATGGTCGAGGAATAAAGTGAATACGTTGATGAAGGGCTAAAGTACTTGCACAGTGGTACGCCCTGTGGCAAATCCTGCATACATGGTGTCGCGTGTTGCGTGGCTGACATAATGATTTTTGATGATGGCGCTCTAGAGTGAAGGAATCCGAAAACTCTTTCTTGCATATCTTACAACGGAGTGGTACCTTACCAATATGTTCCATCTGATGGATGTAAAGCTGAGAACGTTGGCGGCATGTCTTGTTGCATTCAGAGCATTTGAAGGGATCTGTGATCCCAGAGTCTATCGATTGGTAAAAGGTCATATTGGTAAACTTAGAAATTGTCGTTAGTAGCTGCAATAATAGAAATTTCACAAACTATCATAATACGCCTACTCTTCACAAACCAAGATTCCAGTTGGACATCCGACGTCTATTTCAGAGGGTATAAGAGAGCACTCTAGCCTGTGCTAGTGAGTTTTAAGTGAAGTACAGTGTGCATGTGACGGACCCTATTTCTTAAGCCAATCATCAGAGAGGGATGATGAGAGTAAGGTCCCAAGGTCATAGATTTTCTTTCTCCCAGGTAGATGATAAAACTGTCTGTAGGGGTTTGCTGTCCCTTTTAAAGGTGGTTCTTACCTGGGGAGATTTTAGTTCAGGTCCTGGATCATCTGCATAGGTTTACACTTACGTTTAAGTTTTCATATAAGTTCCTGTGGCCTGGATTTTGACAAAGGCAGTGTTTCCTAAAGGATAAGTGTAGAGCATTTTGAAAGCTCAACTTTGCAGACCAAGATTTTAGGAAAGGATTTTATGACTGTTCTAGGGATACTGAATGTCAGAGAAAAAAAAATTATCAATATTTTAACAAATTGGGAGCGTTTACAAAAGAGGCTTGCATTTCAGTATAAGAACTGAACTTTGCAAACTCCTTTAAAAGTAACAAAGTTGGTGTTTGTTTTCGTTTTTAAATGAAAGGAAAATTTGGTCTAAAAAGTTGATCAAACAATGTAAAACAAAAAAAAAACAAAAACCAAAATAGAAATGCCAATATTGGTGGATGCTATCTGGTAAATCCAAGAGTAAAAGACATCATTCAAGATTTTTTTCATGCATGTCCAAATGAGAAAAACCAAAGGATGAGTCACTGTAGTAATAACAAAAAGACTGAGGTCAATAGTCCAAACATTTCCGAGGATGATGACAATTCATTTCAGTATTATAGAAGTTATCTTTGTTTGTCTTTGAGGAGGTTGTAGAAGTCATCAAATGAAACATTGTGGTAACAAAAAACGCTACTAGAAGGAAAGCAGTGATTTAAACAACTCTTGAAATGATAATGACTTATGTCAAAATAACAGAATAGATCTTCTCTGTTCAATTGTACACCAGAGAAATGATACCATTGCAACAAAACCAAGAGAATGAGTTTAATAAATAGAATAATCTTTGGAAAATTGAAAATGTTGGAATCGGTTATTTATTTCCAAGCCTATTTTTCTTTTGATTGTTTTTATTTCCAGAGATTTTTTTTTTTTTTTTATAATTTCCAGAGATTTTTTTGACACCAGAGATTAAAGTCTATTATTAGTTTTCCTGTGCTAATGAAGTTTGTTGAATATTTTACAAACATGTGAGAGACTTTTGTTTATAAATCCTGAAACAATTTCACCGCTGATTTGGTTGTAAACTGGAACGACAGGCATTAAGTACAGGTTATAAAAAGAATGAAAGTTTTTTTTTTCTTTCTTTCATTTTTAATACTTTCATTCACCCAGATTCTTTCTTAATTTATATTAAAAATGAATAAAATACATTCCTTCAGTGTACAATTCTTATTTTGAAGGATCTGAAAAAAAGAAAAAAAAAGAAAGAAAAATAATTAAGTTTCATTCTAACCAAGAAAAAATAAAAAAGGTTTCATAAAAAATTTAAATAACATGAATACATTTCACAAAATAAATATAATTGATGAAAATTACAAATATTGGCTGATTGAATAAAAGTGAAGATGAAAGTAAATAATAGTCAAAAATTAATATTGACTGCTTGGCAATATTTCCTCTAATAAAAATGAAGATGAATGTGAACACTAGTCAAAAATTTAAAAAAATAGTTGACAATGCTTCATCTAGTATAAATGAAGATGAAAATAAGTTGTTGTCAATAATAATAATGGCTGAGAAAGGTTCATCAGATGAAAATAAATACTAGTCAATATTAATAATAATAGTCGAAAATGCTTTAGTCAAAAAGTAATAATTGCTGACAAGGCTTCATCTAGTATAAATGGAGATGAAAATAAATACTGTAATTCTGACTTACAAAATGCGTTTTTTTTCCCTGAAAAATATGTGTGCATCTTCCAAGTTGAATGTACAGAAACCTTCAGGCTCAAATAAGCTTGGACGGTCACCTAATTGGCTTGACTGATAGGGACATGGATTTGTATGTTAAGTAATTACACGATAATGTTAGCTGTCTAATTCAGCCTTTTATATGATGCATCGTTCAGTTATTACAAGTATTTCCAAGCTTGTGGCTCAGCTCCAGGAAGGAGCTGAGCCCCAAACTTAAACATTCTCTGTTTACTAGCAGTGGCAGAAGCATTTCTGCTCTTGACTAGTATATCATTGCCATACAAACAAAATCCGATGAGTGATAAGTAATACGTAGCACCAGTATATGAGATAATGGTAAATGTGTTGTTGTATGAGAATGTCTTTATTTCTTAGAAATTTCTTTCCAATATTAGGGTGCGTCTTCCAAGCTGTAGCATGTTGTAAGCCAGAAAATACAGCACTTATCAAAAATTAATAATAATAGTTGACAATGCTTCATCTAATAGAAATTAAAATGGAAGTAAATACTAGTCAAAAATTAATAACATTTGACAAAGCTTCAAATTATGAAGATGAAAGTAAATACTAGGAAAAATTAGTAATGGTTGACAATGCTTCATCAAAAAAAAATAAAAATAGAAGTAAAAATTAATAATAATAATGGTTTACAATTATTTCTCTTAGAAAAATGAAGATGAAAGTACAGTGACTTTAAACAGCAGTAGCAGCCTAAAATAAAATTATTATCAGCAGCAGCTTTTGAATATAAAAACATGTGAACTCTGAAGTAACTCCCAGGTTTTTCCTCTTTCGAATTGGTGTCATGAACCTTCCATGCTGAATCTAAAAGGGCTGTGAATGCTTCACACATAAAACATACCAACAAAGTCAGTCTCACTCAAACATAGTGAGAAGTATTTCGTTAAGTACACAATTTATGTCTAACAAAAGAAACTTATTTTAAACTTTCCTTTTGTTAATTTGTCTAATAAATGTTATCTTGCAATCCAAATCAATTGGTCAGTTATTTTGCACATGTACTCGATCATAAAATTATAATTTAGCACAATGGTATTGCAGTGCTGTAATGTGTTAGCTGTATGGGTAGGCATACCTTTCTTCAAACTATATATCACTAATAACAGTTTATGGAATTTTTCATGGCAAATATGATTGCAAAAGCTTCTTTCTCTATCTGGCTGTAATTCCTCACTGCTGGTAAAAGCAAGTGTGAAGTATAAGGAAAAACTTTCATTTTACCACCATCATGTGTGTAAAAATCACCACTTCAACACAGTAATCTATCTATAAAAGGCAGGATTGTGTGTGTGTATGTAGCGAATGCATGGCCGCAATTTTCGACAGATTTGCACCAAAATTTACATGCACATGCTCCACGTTAGCGGAAAGGCCAAGACCGACTTTGCATTTCCCAACTTCCATCAACAGTGGAAATAATCAATTTTTTCATGCTTCTATGGCAGTTTTCATGTAGTTTGCGGCCATTTTCTACTGGCCAGAGTGAGAGCCTATAGCTGGCTGCCACGAATAGGCAGGAAGATTCTATTGGCCAGCATGAGAGCCAACAGCTGACTGACATGAATGTTAACTAGCATGCTAGCATGTAAAAAAAAATTTAAATCTGCATGGCACTTTACTCCAATTGGCTCATTCACTTGCTTAAACTCAACGTTGATTCTGATTCCGCAGACCTGGGTTGAGTGTGAAAAAGTATTTGTTGTTAACATTCTTTTTTCATTCAGTTTTTCCAGTTAAGAGTCCTTTTTTAAAGCTGATCGTTTTTGTGTTCATTTTGTTTAGTTCTTTTTTTGTAACAGATTTAATGTTTAGTATAGAGCTTAGAAAAAATTTGCAGTGTGAGATAGGCAAGAAGTAAGGCATGTAGCAACATCAGCATGGCAAAGGGCACTCCTTTAAATCCAAGGAAGGGCAAAAATATTTTAAGTCAAGTGATAGCGATTGCTGTATGAGTCGTACGATTTTTGAATCAAGCACGGGCAACGCCGGGCCATGCTGCTAGTCACTAGTAACTGACACTACTACAATTTTTGCTTTTGGATCATAGTGCACTAGTGATAAATCAGACATAAAACTTTTTTTTATCTTGTCAAACATTTTTTAACATTTATGTTCCCAATTCCACTTTACTCCTTTTTCCAATAGATTGTTAAGTGGAGCTTGACAGTTCCACTTAACAATTATGCATATTATATACATAAATTTGATAATAATTAACCAGTCCTAAAAAAGCTTGTAATGTAGATATGTTTGTTGGTGTAGGCATATTTCTAATTGCATTTGCGCACAATGGATCGAGCTTCCTACCATTTTATCAATTTGACCCAGGTATTTTATTTTTGGCAAAAACAATTCACACTTTTCTTCACTTAAGCTTGACTCTGTATTCTC